TGTAGAGCTTGCGCAGAGTAAACAAGCCTGTAACGGTTTGATTTCTTTCTTAACTCCTGATGCAAGAGCTGTTTTGATAGTAAAAGTGCATTGAGTTGGATTTTGCCTTTTTTATTTGAAAGATAAAAAAGAGTGTCAGCTTTAGGTTGTTCTCATGGTTTCAGAATGGTTTGTACTGTAAAGTATAATGGTACTGAATTATTTATTCGGTTATTTTCATATATCACGTACAGTATTTCCAAGCTCAGCAATACCCATTGTGTGTTTGTTGGCCCGTGTAATGCATTGCTGCCCTGTGAACCTTGACGGTGCATTTGTTTCCGAAGACATTGGCTTTTACACAAGGCTCTGTGAAAACCAGGTGTTTTAACCCGGCAACAAGCAGATCCGGACCCGTCATGGTTGACTTCCTCGCTTCCTTAGAGAGAAACTGCTCTTATTTAAAGAGTTAGTTCATCCAAAAATTAAAATTCTGTCATTAATTTCTCATTGTCACCATCACTTAAGACTTTCGTTCATCTTCAGAACACAAATATCTTTTTGATTAAAGTCCCCGTGAACCGGAAGTTGCAAACGATTTTTCTCCAGTGCTGTGACGTATTTCCAAGTGAAACGGAATATTGAACAGAGGGCAGGGTTTTACTCTAGCGCTCCTCCTCTCCATCTCTCGCTCATAGCAAACTAACGGTTTGAGGGGAGTGGTTAAGCGTTTCCCCACCCAAACTGTGAAACCTACGTCATCAGAAAAAGAAACCGTTCCAGACCGGAAGTAACTTTTCAGATTTTGATTAAAGATTACTAAGGTAAAACATTTTTTTAATATATATTTACTTGCACGGATTAATTGTTCACCACAAGACTAGTAATATGCGCTAGCAAAGTAAATAGGTTCAATTTTGATTTCACGGGGACTTTAAATCTGAGTGATTTCTGTCCCTCCGTCGAGAGCTACACAACTGACACTTTGACGCTTCAAAAAGTTCATAAAGAGTATAGCCCGACCGATAAAGGATTTTGAAGGCCGATACCGATACAAATATTTTTTGGTTTTAAAATCCGATATTCCGATATATCGGCCGATATTTTTTTATATATTTTTTTATTTCAGACACGCGCAACAAAACATTAACAGATTTCTCTAACATTAGTTATTTGTAGTTAATTATGAGTTTTAACTAAAATAATATGATACCGCATTTTAAAAAGAAACTTGTTTCTTTTATTGTCACAACAGAACAGACTGATGATAGTGGTATTAGCTGATGAGCCATCATTTAGCAATGGATTACGTCATACTGCAAATTGTAAAACATACATTTTCAATATAACAGGCCAAGGAGAGATGATACGCCTCATTGCTATAACTGTCACGCGCTATTAAAGAAATACTTCAGTCACATTTTCACAAGTTAAAACGACAGTCAGTCCTTAACGTAACTATTACTAGCTAATTCCGCTTCACTCTCGGCTTATTTAACAGCAGCAAAACTGGACATGATAGTCACAAATTTTGTCATGCTAATTTGAGTTAAGAGAACTGATGGGAATGTTCTTTTAATTGTTATTCAAGCAATGTATGTCTCGTGACCAACTCAACAAGTGTTGCCAACAGGAACGGTGTAGAGTGCCCTCTGGTGGACAAACTATACAACTCCAACACTCATGACATGGTTCAAGCGTGTTTCGTCCGTTTTTATTTCATTTTTGAAATATTCATTTATCGGCCATTATAACCGCCGATACCGATAATTTGGAAAATGCCTAATATCGGCCGATAATATCGGCATGCCGATATATCGGTCTGGCTCTAATAAACAGATAAGGATAATAAAGACAAAAGTCTTCCGAAGATGAACAAAAGGTTCATTCTCATGTTACGCAGCACATTTGAGCTTCAGCAGAAACCAATGAGGTTTGTTCTCACGCGCCAACCATGTTCGGTTGAGCTTCTGTTTATGTTCGCTGATCAATGTTTAAATGTAAATAAACGCCACGCCTACATTCAATCTGTTCATTATATGTTAGCAATAAGGTACGAGAGGCTGTGCTGTATTGTGAATAACTAACGGCTGAAGGGCGTTGTTATGCACGACACGAAGCGGAGTAACCCCTTCAGACGTTACTAATTCACGATACAGCACTTGCCTCGAGTGCCTTATTGCTATACATATATAAACACAATACAAATATTTAAAGGGATAGTTCACCCAAAAATGAAAATTAAGTCATTAATTACTCACCCCCATGCTGTACCAACCCCGTAAGATCTTCGTTCATCTTCGAGAACACAAATGAAGATATTTTTGATTAAATTTGAGAGCTGTATAACTACCACATTGGCTCCTAAAGGACTGCCTCTTGACGGCCCAGAAAGTCAATGAAGAAAATGTTTAAATATCCCAAGTGACTACCGTGGCTCAACTATATGTTTATCAAGCGACGCGAATACTTTTTGTGCGAAAAAACAAACAAAAATAACGAGTTTATTCGACTATTTCTTTTCTTCCCTGTAGGCCAGAAACGAGAGTTCCTTAGATTTCCACGACGCATGCGCGAGAATTGCGATCTGAAGTAGTGTAAGCTGGTGTAAGCAGATCGCAAATCTCGCGCATGCGTCGTGGAAATCTAAGGAACTCTCGTTTCTGGCCTACAAGGAAGAAAAGAAATAGTCGAATAAACTCGTTATTTTTTTTGGTTTTTTCGCACAAAAAGTATTCTCGTCGCTTGATAAACATAAAGTTGAGCCACGGTAGTCACTTGGGATATTTAAACATTTTCTTCATTGACTTTCTGGGCCGTGAAGAGGCAGTCCCTTAGGAGCCAATGTGGTAGTTATACAGCTCTCAAATTTAATCAAAAATATCTTCATTTGTGTTCCGAAGACGAACGAAGGTCTTACGGGGTTGGTACAGCATGGGGGTGAGTAATTAATGACTTAATTTTCATTTTTGGGTGAACTAACCCTTTAATATCTGTCATGCACTCTATGGTTCTGTCCAAAAACATTTAGTGCATCTGTATACTAAGGCAACATCCTAAATGAAAAAGAACATCATAAGTAAGAGCACTGGAGCACCAATGGTGTTTTTATTTACACAATGCATTGCTTTGCTAAATAAATAATGCAATTAGTTCAAGCAGCATCATTAAAGCAAACATGGCATGAACAGTGGAGCGATGAAGCTGTCAAGACCATTGAAATGAATTTGAGCGGTTCCACGGGAATAATTTGAACATCTGAAGCTTTAGTACATATTTGATTTCCATGCCCTTTTCACATACGCCTGTAAGTGGTTCTGCCCGAACAGCCACAATGAAATGTCATTACCTTGAGCTTACCGATGAGAAAGTCTGTATTTTTGTCCCTCCTGTGAGAATGAAATATTCCCCACGGAAGAGAGCAGCTCCTGCGCGGTGTGGTTCGCTAACCGTAATTAACCCTGGTGTTTATCGGGCTGGATTTGAGCGTGTTTCACCCACACAAGTGGAAGAGAAAGGTCATTCACAATCAGAGCCCAGAGGGGAGGCCTTGCCCTCTCGTTCTTTACCTCTCTTCTCTTACAACATCAATCACACTCTCTCCAAAAAAATCCCGCTGAAGTTGTTTCCCGAGGTGCTCGCAGCCAATCGCTGGTGTCTGAGGGATGATTGTTCCAGAGTTGTCGTCTTTCAAACAGCCGACTGACAAAACAATGCGCTGGATTGATGTGGTTCCTCGTGGGGAACAAGAAAGGTTGACTAAACAAGAACAATTTTGATTTAAAGAACTATTTTGGTCAAATATCAAAGACTTTTACTCATCGTAACTCAATAAAATGACTAACTAAACAAATTTTACTGGTAGAGTCACATTTTATCCCATAATTAACAGGTGTTTTCACAATTTGGTTATGTTTATGTCACTATAACACCAAATATGTGTGTACACTGTAAAAAAATATTGTTGGTTTAACTTAAAAAATTAAGTAACCTGGTTGCCTTAAAATTTTAAGTTGATTGAAATGGAAAAAGTGAGTTAATACAATGAAGGAGATTGATTTAATCATCAGAAACTCAAAATAATAAGTTATCTGAACTAAATAAATTATTTAAGTTGATTTGACAAAAGAAAAAATGTGATAACAAATATTGAAAATATTTTTTTTTACAGTCATATATACATACATGTCATCTGTTTGTCAGGTTATCTGATGATGTACGTCATTTACAAGATTAATGTTTAAGGACTGTAGTTGTTTGGCCTTTAATTTGTTTGAAGAATGGAAATGTTAAAGCTTCATTTGAAATGCTGTTCAATTCGCTTTCTTACATGTAAAATAAAAGTTCCAAAAGGGATTGTGTTTTTTTTTTCTCACAGCGATTCCATAAGAACCGTTCAGTGAAAAGTTCTTAAAAGAACATTTTAATAATCTAAAGATTTTTTTTTCCATCTAAAGAATATTTTGTCTACTGGAAAAAGTCCCATGAATGTTAAATGTTCTCTGAGGAACCAAAATGTTTTGATCATCAATGCTTATGCTTATATATTGTGCATTTATCATCACACTGCTGCATTTTCTCTGAGGTTTGAGTAATAATAATTTAAGCTTGTGCTCCTGTACAGATATGTGTTTATGCTGTGTACTAAAGCAGATTTTGTATTTGTTTGTCTGTAGATGTAAGGTCGTTTAAGGATTAGACAGGTCATGACTGAAAATTCACTGTTTTGTGCTGCCACAGCTTGAGAGAACAACAGAGATTGTGAGACATGGCTCTTATCTTAGGGTAATCATCGTTTCAATTCAGAATTGTAACCTTCACCATACACGTACATTACCTTATTGGTTTAGATTTTTGGAGAAACGTCTTTTCTTGAATGAAGCTTGACTAAAAAACTCTTCTTAGTTGACAGACAGTGGATGATCAGAGCTATAAAATGCATTTGAGACATCTCTAATGGAGATTTGAGATTACTAATTTCTTTTTTGACCTAACAGTTTTTCCTTTTTCTGTGTGTGCAGGTGGGATTTTCGAGACACTTGAGAATGAACCGATTAGCGTGGAGGAACTTGCCTTCAAATTCGCTGTAACCAACATTAACAGAAATAGGACTTTAATGCCCAACACCACCCTCACCTACGACATCCAGAGAATCAACCTGTTCGACAGCTTCGAGGCCTCTAGACGAGGTGCGATTCTTACACTTACACATTTGACAGACACTTTTATTCAAAGCAACACGGATCACGAACCTATGACTTCGGTGTTGCAAGCACCATGCTTTACCATTTGAGCTACAGGAATGGTAGCAAAGAGAGCTCAAAGCAAATCCTAATATCATTATATACATTGTAAAAAAAAAAAAAAAAAAATTAGGGCTGTCAAACGATTAATCACATCCAAAATAAAAGTTTGTGTTTACATAATATATGTGGGTGCACTGTGTACAATTATTTTGTATATATATAAATACATTACACACACATGCAGGTATATTTAAGAAAAAGTATAATTTATAAGTGCCATTTGAAATTTTCTGCTAGAATGATCATTTTTATCAAGCTTGTATGTTTAAGTTCAGTAATTTCACTTAAATGACAATTAATAGGTAATCTTCATTGCAATTTAAGTGAAATTACTGAACTTAAATATACAGGCTTGATAAAAATGATCATTCTAGCAGAAAATTTCAAATGGCACTTAGAGGCTTTTGCATCTGAACTCTTCATATATATAATAATAATTATATACAGTGCACCCACCTATATTATGTAAACACAAACTTTTATTTTGGATGCAATTAATCACGATTAATCTACTACTACATTTTTTAACATTTCAAAATTTCAAATTTAATTCAATTTTATGAAAACATATAAATCATATAACTACTACATTTTAAAAACTTATAAAACTATTAAAAACATATCTGTTAATTAAAAATTAAAGCTTAAATAAAATATAAATATTAGTTTATATAGTAATATATAAATTAGAATTAGAAAAAGGATGCTTTGTAAAGTTATTAAAGCATTTACTGGAAATAAATTAAAACCAAAACTAAAACTAAAACTGAAGTAAAAATAATTAAACCTAAATAACAATATTTAAAAAACAAAAAAGTAGTCAAATGAGAAATGCACATAACCAAATGACAAAATGTTCAGCTAAAATTAACATGAAAACTAAACACAAAAACTAATTTAAAACATGGTCATAAAACCAGAATAAAAGGAAAATTAAAATAACACCAGTGTTACTTGCCATAAAATTCACTAGAAATTTCATCGGAAATTGTTTCTACACCAATTTCTTTTTTCAGTGTACCTATTAGTAGTTTATCTTATATAATTGCATTTGAATATACAATATAAAAATGATAGGATCGATAAATTATTGCAATATATGTTGTTTTTCCATTATTTTACCAATTTCAACTTTTTAATGTTGTTCAAGATTCAACACTCTTAAAAGTAAAGTCATCTTTTCAAAGCACAGGTTCTTTATAGTGGAAAAAGATTCTAAAATGTTCTTCACACTAAGAAAAGAATGTTTTGGGAATCCTTTTGGAACCTTTATTTCAAGAGTGTTGGCAAGATTTAAATCAAATGAGTTGAAATGACTTGTACGGCCAGTCTGATTATACTTAAACATTTGAGGCAGCTGAACTCAACATTTTAAATTGAATTAAAGGGGTCATATTTTCTCAGCGTGTTAATAAATTCCCTGATGTTCTCTTGGTCTCGCCGTCAGCCTGTGATCAGCTGGCTCTCGGTGTGGCCGCGGTGTTCGGCCCGTCCCACAGTTCTTCAGTGAGTGCGGTCCAGTCCATCTGTAACGCGCTGGAGGTTCCTCACATCCAGACCCGCTGGAAACACCCGTCTGTGGACAACAAAGACAGCTTCTACATCAACCTGTACCCAGACTACGCCTCCATCAGCCGCGCTGTGCTGGACATCGTGCAGTTCTACAAGTGGAAGGCCGTGACGGTGGTGTACGAGGACGCGACAGGTGAAAAACACCGTTTTGTTTTGAGTGGATGACGAGCGCGAGACGCCGAAATGGATGCCAATAAGGCCACATATATTTAAAATAATCCTGAATATTGAACTTTTTTCAAATATGCAGGAATTAGATGCATCTGTCATCATCATATCAGTGTGTGTAATTTGTTTGTAATATTTATAAACCAGCCCATGAGTGTCGGATGTTTATTAGGATCTCGCTGTTTCATGAAAAATGTAATTAATTCACATTTCTGCTCTGAGTGACATTTTTGTGTAAACTGTTGTGGTTAATATTGACTTAGTGATCATATCTGGGATCGTTTGTTTGCTTAAATAACATTTCTTCATTATTAATAGGATTAGAATATGATTAACTGTAATTTTACAGGGCTAAAAAAATATTAAAAACCAAAAGGACATTGCTTTTTCTTTTTTTACGTAATGAGTATTTGAATTAAGGCCACTGTCACTTTTGATCAATCTAATCTATTCACTAGACATTTCTTTAAAAAACAACTTTTGAATAGTAGTGTGTGTTTATCATCTTTGCTGATTTTGTCTATATAATATTTTTAGGGCTAATTCGTCTTCAGGAGCTGATCAAGGCTCCGTCGCGGTACAGCATCAAGATCAAAATCCGACAGTTACCGATAGGAAGTAAAGATGCCCGGCCGCTTCTTAAAGAGATGAAGAAGGGGAAAGAGTTTTGTGTCATCTTCGACTGCTCGTACCAGACCGCATCAGACGTCCTCAAACAGGTACAGTAACACTTCAGTTCAATTTCAATTGATTACGCAACATTCCAATGTGAATGTTTGAATGCATATATATATATATATATATATATATATATATATATTATATGTGTTCGAATTAAGCGTTTTTGTTTTCAGATTTTTTTTGTTTTTTAAGCATGAACTCACTTTATTTGAATTATTATTTTTTTTTTTTTTTGAAAGACTTAATATCTTAAAGGGATAGTTTACTTTGAAATACATTTTTGGTATGTTTTAGCTTACCTCAAGGGCATCCAAGATGTAGGTGTCTTTGTTTCCGCAGTAGTTTCAATTTTGATATTTTTAGGTCAAACCATTCGTGTCAGTCATATAATGCAGGTCTATGGTCACCACCACCTCAAAGAGCATGCACAGAGAAGTCCAAATTAAACATGATTTAATGACTCGTAAACGTAAGTACACATTAATGGCCTAAGACTCAAAACAAGCGGTTTGTCTGAGAAAACGAACAGTATTTATATCATTTTTTACCTCCTGTGTTTTACTTGGACATGGCTGTGATTACAAGAGGTAAAAACGATATAAATACTGTTCGTTTTCTCACACAAACCGCTCGTTTTGTGTCTTAGTCCATCAGTGTGTACTTTCATTTACGAGTCATTAAATCATGTTTAATTTAGATTTCTCTGTGCATGCTTTTTGAGATGGTGACCATAGACCTGCATTATATGACTGACAGACAAGAAAATATCAAAATTGAAACTACTGTGGAAACAAAGACGCCTACATCTTGGATGCCCTTGAGGTAAGCTAAAACATACCAAAAATTAATTTCAAAGTGAACTATCCCTTTAAGTGTTTTTGCTTCCTAAATAAATGTTCCCTGAAGACAAAAAAACAAAACAAAAAACAACGGACTGGAAAAGTAAAGTCTGTCAAAACAGCCTTTTTTAAGTAAAAGATTAAATCATTATCTGTTTTAAATTTGATATTGTTTGATATTCTGACATTATTCACCGATGTCTGATGTCATACATTGACATCATCAAATCCCATTTTCTGTGTTACAGCAATACAAATACAAATCCCTAAAACTAAATCCCCATCAAATGTGATGCGTTTGATTGCTCCACTGTGTGGCCGTTGTTACAAAAAGACACAGTCATTCTTTACTCCAGTGTTCAGATTTCAGGGCTTGTGGGCTCAGAGCAAATATTGTACATGTGTGTCTTTAGATATCTAATGCTCATTATATGAGTATGCTGGTGCAGAAAGAGGTTTAACACGTTCTCCTCTCTCTCTCTCTCTCTCTCTTTCTGCTCTAGCTGTTGTCTATGGGCATGATGACAGAATACTACCATTTCTTTTTTACCACTCTGGTGAGTTTCTTACATGGTTTTTCTATGGTCGTGTCATTGTTTTGACAGATTATGTTCAGCTGGTTTGCATTTAAGGTTCTGCGATGATTTCAGTCACTAGATGTGTGTTTTTGTAGGCCAACCTGTAAGTTCGTCTCACCCTGGTTCCCCTGATAAAAACCTAATACGACTTTTTCCATTGGCTTTTGGATCATTGCAAAAAATAAGCTCTGTGGTAATTTTTTCATCATCATGATAATATTCACAGGTGAACACAACTTTTATGCATTTTGAAGCCTAAATATAGTCATCATTAGTAAAAAGCAAAAGTTAGGCTATTAACAAACTGATAACATTTTACTATAGTGTTTCATTTGCTAACATTAGTTAATGTTTTACCTATCATGAACCAACAATTACAGTATTTATTAATTTTTGTTGATGTTAGTTAATAAAAATCCAGCTGTTCAGTGTTTGTTCATGTTCGTTCACAGTGCAATGTTAACAAATACAACCCTTTGATTTTAATAACTAAACTGTAAAAAAAAAAAATGTTGGTTTAACTTAAAAAATGAGGGAACCTGGTTGCCTTAAATTAAGTTCATTGAAATGGAAAAAGTGAGTTAATACAATGAAGGAGATTGATTTAATCATCAGAAACTTAAAATATTATGTTATCTGAACCACATACATTATTTAAGTTGATTTGACAAAAGAAAAAAAAGTTGTGATTACAAATCATGAACATATAGTTTTTTACAGTTTAGTAAATGTTGAAATTAACATTAACTATAATTAATAAATGCTGTAGATTAAGTATTGTTCATTCTAAGTTCATGTTAAATAATTAACCTTATTGTAAAGTGTTTCCCGCACGACTTACGCACTGCTGTATTTTACGTTGTAGAATAAAACATAAAAATATCTTGCGCTTATGTTAACCCGACCTTATTTCAGGCATTTAAACAAAAACTCATTGACTTCAGGACGATGGACCCGGTGTGCTAAAATGCTCATATCTGGGGTTTAGCCTACAAAAATATGGCATCCCTGCTGCACTCAATTGCTAGAAAACAAATATTCTTTCTAAAGCGTTTCATGTGATCTGTAAGGAGTGATGTATTGATGTATATATGCCACAGGATCTGTTTGCGCTGGACCTGGAGCCGTACAGATACAGCGGGGTGAACATGACGGGCTTTCGTCTGCTCAACATCGGCAACCCTCAGGTGGCGTCGGTGGTGGAGAAATGGTCCATGGAGCGACTGCAGTCTCCACCCAAACCTGAGACCGGCCTGCTGGACGGAATGATGACAGTCTGTCCATCCTCTATATATATAATCATATCACAGATAGTCAAGTGTTACTCTATTCTGGTACCACAAAAAAATGGTACAAAGCAACACTATAGTATTTTAACATATAATATCTCAGCAAACAGGGAACGTAAGGGATACTTCACCTCTGGAAAGATTAATGTGTATTTATAATGGGTCATTTATGTAGAAAAAATTTTAAATTATTTTTGAATTTGGAGTTTTCTAGACTGAGAAAAGCCAGGCAATGTATTTGGCTTATGTGGATGAAAGACAACAACTCCCAGAATGCACTTGCTTCGCTGCCCTAGGAGGCCACGCCTACCGGTATCAGAGCGCAGTAGTTAAACAACAAGTCTAGGCTACTAGTGAGTCTCCGTGATGTGTTTCAAGATCGCCAAAAATGTCCGGGATTCGGCTTTTGCGTTCTACAGTCGTCATTCATTATGTTTACTGTGTAATTCGAAAATACTACAGGTTTTCTACTAATACAAAGCTTAACGCTAAATCCTGAAGTATTCCTTTAATAATGATCTAAAAGATTTCAAATACAGTGTACTAAACCAAGAAAGTACTGGTAATATAAGGTAACTACATGGGTTAAGGTTAAGTTTAGGGGTAGGTTTAGGGTTAGTGCCAAGTTATTACAGTTATTATAATTTCTATAATAAGTACATATGTTCATGCGGAACAGGACTGTAAAATAAAGTGCTTCCAACATTGTTTGGAAACGTTTTAGTTCGATGTTCATATTCATTTTTTAAATGTTTAATGTAAATTAGAGACCGACCGATAAAGGATTTTGAAGATACCGATACCGATACAAATATTTTTGGGTTTTAAAATTTCCAATATATTGGCCGATATTTTATTTATTTATTTATTTATTTATTTATTTTAAACTGGACATGATTGTCACAAATTTTGTCATGCTTATTTGCTTATTTGAGTTAAGAGAACTGATGGTGATGTTCTTTTAATTGTTATTTAAGCAATGTATGTCTCGTGCCCAACTCAACGAGTGTTGCCAACAGGAACGGTGTAGAGTGCCCTCTGGTGGACAAACTATACAACTCCAACACTCATGACATGGTTCAAGCGTGTTTCGTCTGTTTTTATTTTATTTTTGAAATATTCATTTAACGGCCATTATAACCGCCGATACCGATAGTTTGGAAAATGCCTAATATTGGCCGATAATATCGGTCTGCCGATATATCGGTCTGGCTCTGTTTAAATGTTGATGAATGTTGAGGAAACATTCAAAAGTAACATTCCTGTAATGTTGGTGGATGTAGAATGATAAAATGCAACACAAAGTAACATAATCAAGGGGGAAAAAAACGTTTTTGATTTTTTTTTTTTTCTAAACTCATTCAGAGAACATTCAGAACATATTTTTGTTAGCTTGGATGATACTGAATGATTATTATAATTTTACCGTAGTCTAAAAAAGACATGGTTTTACTATAATAATTGATAAAATTATACATTATTGTGCAAGTCCTCACATGTATTTGTTTATAAACTGATGTTTCAAAGCAGTTTCACATTAATAGACACGAAAATAACGCAAAATTCTTCAATTATGAAACAAATTCAATGTCAGCTTTAGAGAAGACAACGACAGCTCAGTTTAGTTCAGTGTTAATTCAGTTTAGTTTAGTAACAAGGTCAATGTTGCAAAGTTCATCAGTTATGAAATGAACTCAATTGAACTGTAAAGCAACTCTATAGAAGATAATAGTGCCATTATTCAGCTTGAGTCAGTTCAGTGTTGATTCAGCTCAGTTCAATAAGTGTTCTTGAATGAATGAGGCATTTATATAGCGCTTTCATACATACTGTACACACGAAGCGCTTTACAGTAACGTCAAGGGATCTCTTGTCCCCTGTTCTCTTGCTGATCTCTTGTGCAGTAAAATCGAGAATATCACTTCATATCAATTGTATTTCGAACCCTGAATTGAATTTAGAAAGAAGTGAGTCATTATTTGAACAGATTGATCTGATGAATCATGTCTCTGTGTGTTCGTCAGACTGAAGCGGCGTTGATGTACGACGCGGTGTATATGGTCGCAGCCGCGTCCCAGCGAGCGTCCCAGGTCACCGTGAGCTCACTGCAGTGTCACCGCCACAAACCCTGGCGCTTCGGATCCAGGTTCATCAGCCTGTTCAAAGAGGTAAAGGCTCCTGCTTTAACACTCGGCCCAAAATGTAAAGGCTCACCCATTAACTCATCAAGTAAATGATGACAGAATTATCATATATAATCTTTTCAAACTGTGTCAGACACTCCTGAACTCGGATACGTCAGTACTCAGTTTTCTGGAAAGTGTTTTAGGCTCTTCTAAACAGCTGCAGTGATTTATGTACTGACACTCTCTCTCTCTCTCAATGACATCTTCTTGTCTTCCTGTTTTGGATGAGGTATTGTTGAGTCAGCATGTTGGCATTGCAGGCTGGAGGATGAATGTGTGTTGGACGAGTCGAGTGTGTAATGGCTCCAGCTGAATTACTGATTTTGGCCATGCGAGTGAACTCATTATAGTTGGTGATCTCTTCATTTAAAGGGGAAGCGCGTCATTTCTGCTCCACTAGAGGCACAGAATGGAATTGTAACCGAATTGGCCGACTCAACCAATAGCGTGAATGACGTCCACCTCTGTGGACCTATGGGTGGAGTTGTGTTTAGTGATAGGGTTATGGGTAGGTTAGGGTGTTTTGGGATTTCATAGCTCCACCCATCGTCTGTGCAGCAAGCACTCTCTCGAATTTGGGGGCGGGATTATCCGTTTGTCTGAACCATGACAAATATTATTATTATTATTTATGTAAATATCTATTTTTTATGTTGTTCTACTCAGATATTTTCCTCTTTATATATTGTCTCAAAATAGTTTTTCTTTTTTGTCTATTTACTTTAATAAGCAGATCATGGAGAGCAGCAAGGAACGGATCATAGTTTGTATTTTAATTATTTTTAAAATATAAAAATAAACATTTATTGGCATGACCACATGTTCTGGTGAAAATGAATGTCTCAGTAGTTATGCTTTCTTTATTCATTCAATTTTCTGAAATACGTGCATTGGTAGATATCATCATCAACTTTTAACTATAAATGTTCATCTGTCTATATAATAAAGTACACAACCAAACAATGAAAAAAAGCTTGTAATTAAGACTGTAACATTGATTTACCTGTCGAGAAGAAAGCAGAACTTCGGCATTTCCTTTTTTCGGTTTATTTTGGAGTTTTTCAAGATGGCGGGACTACATGGAAGCCTCCATGGACTTACCCGTCTCATATATATAAACATAATAAATTCTTCGGATAAATGAGATAATTGGCAGAGGTATTTGTACACCATTGAGGACACATTTATGAATACAAAGATTGAATATAAATAATAAAATGCATAAAAAGCTACACATTGTCCCTTTAATGGTATTTAAAAAAATTAACAAAAAACAACAAAAATAATAATAATTATTATTAATTTCTTAATAAATTTGTAAAAAAATAAAAATTGTAAAAAACAATTAAAAAGGAATGAATTCATTATTATTATTATTATTATTATTATTATTATTATCATTGTTATTGCTAATCATGAATTGATTGGTATTTTAAAAGCAAACTTATAAATTATTGATAATAATTTTATTATTATTTATTATTATTAAATTAATTAATTGGAAAAACAAACTGTTTTAGAGCCATACAATTATATTTTTGTTTAGTTTGTATGTATTTTGTCCAGCTTTTGTTACATTTTAATTCCATTTCAGCACAGCTCTGTCAAAAGAGATGTTTTCTGACGCGTTCTCTGAACTCAATGCTGCTTAATGCATCTCTCAAGTTCTTTAATCCAGTGCTGGTGGTGATGATGATGATGTTGTCTTGATCTTACTGGGTCTGGTGTGTTTAATCTTGGCCTGTTGGTAATTGGAGCTCACTGTACATGCGATGTAGAGCAGGATGTGATAAAAAGGAAGGATCTAGTGAGATTTACACTAGAGAATAATGACTAGAACAAATCTGGACAAATGTCATGCGGCCTCAGTGTGAGTTTATGAAGCAAGTCTTTAAGATCGCCACTACTGTATATGAAGATTATGAATGCTTCCCACCCCACAGCAAATTAAAGAAATAATCCACTGGATTTGCACATCAGGCTTTACTGAATGTCTGTTGACTATGTAAGCGTTGCTTTCTTGTTAATTCACATGTTCTGTGTAAAAGATCCACTGTTGGGGAGATCGGTCTCTCCGTTTGGCTCGTGTCCCTCAGACTGAGCTCACGTGTCCACTTCGTGAGGTTCATTATAGAGTCCATTTACTAACAACTCCTTGCAGAACAGAGCTGATCTATTGCTCTGGGCACTTCGTTGATCATGTGACTGTGATCTATGGATCTCTAGGTTGTTTCTCTTTGCTGTTTGTCACTGTGTGAATGGGGCTGCTTTAGACAGATGATAAAAAGCAGAGATAAATATTGAAGGTAGCAAGGTTGAAGACACGTGTAGTGGTAGCAGGCACTATAAATAAACAATGTTTAATAAGCAAAGAGAACAGGGATTTGTAGGAGAAATACAAAAACCTCAGCCACACAAACAGGGAGTATAAACACTCTGAGAACTAAACGAGACACAGGTGCAGATCATAAGTACACTCTAAAAAATGCTGGGTTATTTTAACCTAAATTTGGGTCAAATATGGACAAACCCAGCTGTTGGGTTACATTTATAAATTGCATAGGGAGTAATGACTAACCATGGAAATGATGGTTTACATTTCAATTTGACATTACACATTACAAGCCTTATCCTTAAGGTCCTGGCACTACAAAGTGCTCGTTAGTCTATTTATTTATTTATTTACTATAATTGTTAACTAGAATTCATTGAATTAATAATAATAATAATAGAATAATGGGAAAAAATATTTAATGCATTTTACAATTGTTTGTTTATTTATTTAAAATAATTCATTAAATTAATAATAATTGTATTTAATACAAATATTGATTCATTTAATATAAATTCAAGGTGCTTGTTAGAAAAATAATTGTGTGTTTTATATAATAAATAAATAAATGCATTAATTGATCAAATTGATCATTTTTAAGTATTTAATTAATTTACTTATTAAGAATTCATTAAATAAACGATAATAATAGATCATATAAAACAATTTAATGTATTTTAAAAGTGTTTTTTATTTACAATAATGTATTAAATTAATTATTACTTTATTATTTTATTTAATACATGTGATTATTTACTTTTGTTTTTTACTAAAATTAATTTTACTAAAATAACCTATTAAGAATCTCACTCCTTACCTTTCTCAATATTATACCCCATGTTATAAAAAAAAAATATGTCAGAAAGCCCCCCAAAACGCACAACAGTGTGTGTGAGCTAATACAGCGAGGTACAGTTACACTCTAAACAATGCTGGGTTGTTTGAACCCAAATTTGGGTAAAATATGGACAAACCCAAATGTTGGGTTAAAAATGTAATTTTAAATTTTAACTAGGGCTGTGCAAAAGTTAATTGCGATTAATCGCATCCAAAATAAAAGTCTGTGTTTACATAATATATTTGTGTGTGCTGTATATAATTATTTTGTATATATAAATACCTATGCATGCATGTATATATTTAAGAATTATTTGCGCTTAAATTCTTTATATATTTATAAATACATAATCTATATTATATAAATATTTTACATATGAATAACACATTTTCTTAAATATATACATGCATGTGTGTGTATTTATATATACAAAATAATTATATACAGCACACACAAATATATTATGTAAACACAGACTTTTATTTTGGATGCGATTAATCGCAATTAATTTTTGCACAGCCCTAATTTTAACCCAACTTCAACTTTCAACTGTACATTTCTTAATTGCATTTTTAACCCAACATTTGGGTTTATCCATATTTGACCCAAATTTGGGTTGAAACAACCTAGCATTTTTTAGAGTGTATAAAAACTGAACTGTTGATGTGCCAAACACACATTCTCAACTAATGATGATGATAATAATGCTGCATTTGGACTTAGAATAAAAAGAAGTGAGCCATTAGAGCCATGTTTAATCTAAAATCAGATCCTCTTTTCCGCACTTCTTGTAGGCTCAGTGGAACGGCCTGACCGGACAGATAGTTATAAACAAGACGGACGGCTTAAGGAAAGATTTTGACCTGGACATCATCAGTCTGAAAGAGGATGGGATAGAAAAGGTAAAAGCAGAAGATGCTCCCCTGATCGAAGCCTCTTATCTTAATATCTGTGTCATACTTTACATGTCAAACCTGGGCTTTTTCTTTTCTTTTCACAAGCAGTTTATGGAAAATGGTCGTTTTAACAAAGTATGGAAGAAGGTTTGTATTGAATATCAGACATGTGACGTTCAAGTCCCTTTTCCCCTTGCAAAAATGTACCATGGTCCTAAACGATTGCCATGCTCACATACTATTATTATTTTCCAAAAAACATGGTATTACCATGGTACTTTTTTCATCAACCTGCTGTTGTGCTGGTTTATAGATATGATTTTAAGTCTCATTAAAGACACACTGCTTAATTATGGATTATACTTATTTTCAACACTCAAAGTTATTAATTATTTCCTTTTATAACAGTGTCAAACTGTGGCTCAAAGCCTGCAGCTTCCAAGAGCTCTGACTCCAGATATGAAACATCACATCACTCATAGAGTCAACAATGCAGAGAGCTCATTTTATTAAACATCTGTTAATGAGCTCTCATCGCACGCCAAGCGCTCAACTTGAAGACACTCTCTTAATGTATGTTTTAAAACAGCTAGCTATCAGACAGAGGTGACGTAGCGTAGCAAATGAAGCTTCACTGCGGTACACAGACACACACTCAGAGGAGAACTGCACTTATATCAGTCGCTCATGTGGAAGGAGGAGTGAACAGAGGGATGATGGGGATGTGAAGCACTTGCTTTTGCTTGATAAAATATGTGGTAGATAATTAAAACTTTCAGTCTATTTTCTGCACCGTGTTTTAAGATGCATTGCTTTCTAGATGTATTTTCCCCCCAGATATAAAGCGTTCATTTGCTTCTTTTATTACATTTTTCCCTTGTCTTGTTTTCCTTTTACCTTGTAAGACTTCAAATTGAAGTGTTTTTTGTTGTTGTTGTTGTTGTTGTTGCTTTATTTATTTGTTAGCAATTTATTTATTTACAAGAAGTCATTAAATTATTAACAAATATTTAATGAATATATTTATTTATTTAATATAAACATAATTTAGTGTATTTTTATAATAAATAAATATGTAGATTTATAAAATGTATTAAACTAATTTATTCTTTTCTGTTCAAAGTGTATTTTTTTTTTACAATTTATTTAGAAAATATTTTGATCTCATAATAATGTTATTATAATCATGAGATATGTACGTATACACGTGTGTGTGTGTGTGTGTGTGTGTGTATACATATATACAGGATATTTCATATATATATATATGTGTGTGTGTGTGTATACTGTGTGTGTGTATATATATATATATATATATATATATACAGTATATATATATATATAGTACATATTTCATAATTATATATATTAATCAGTTATAATTTTGTGTATATTAACATTTGAAGAGTTCAGATGCAAAAGCCTCTAAAAGCCATTTGAAATTTTCTTCTTTAATGATGATTTTTATCAAACTTGTATATTAAAGTTCAGTAATTTCACTTAAATGGCAAAGATAATTACCTATTAATTGTTATTTAAGTGAAATTACTGAACTTAAATATACAAGTTTGATAAAAATCATCATTAAAGAAGAAAATTTCAAATGGCATTTAGAGGCTTTTGCATCTGAACTCTTCAGTTATATATGTAATATATACTGTATATATTAACAGATAATAATGTGTGTGTGTGTTTGTATATGATATACTATAAATATATATATAAATATATACATGGTACATATCTTATAATTATAATCAGTTATAATTTTGCATGTCTATTTGATAAGACTAGTGGCACAAAAATGACACACATCACTTTTAAATATAATTTTAAACCATAAACACTTGAATACTCTTCATACATTTGAAATCTCGTATCACATTGAAAGGAATAGTGTCATCTTTTAGTCAGGTTCATAATGGGTGAATTATTTCTTTAATCTGTCCTCTAAACATCAACGGTTTTCTCTGTGGTTTTGCGTCTGTTTAGATTGGCGTGTGGAACTCAAACACTGGCCTTAACCTGACAGACAGCAACAAAGACAAAAACGCCAACGTGACCGACTCCATGGCCAACCGCACACTTGTTGTTACCACGATTCTGGTAGGAATCAGCTGACTCACGTCACCGAGACCCAGAGCCTCCACATGCTGGAACTCATAGTGTTGTTGCCCTTGCAGGAAAACCCATATGTGATGTACAAGAAGTCCGATAAGCCGCTGTATGGGAACGACCGGTTTGAAGGATACTGTCTGGACCTGCTGAAGGAGTTGTCCAACATCCTGGGCTTCTCCTATGAGGTCAAACTGGTGTCTGATGGGAAATACGGAGCCCAGAATGACAAAGGAGAGTGGAACGGCATGGTCAGAGAGCTAATCGATCACGTAAGTCAAAATAAAGAGTTTTGCTGCTTTTAAGATCCGTTTCGTCTGATCTTAAAGAGTGAGGAAAGTTCCTGTGAGTTCATCCTCACCGTCTTCATTACAGGTGGCAGATTTGGCCGTAGCGCCGCTCACCATCACTTACGTGAGAGAAAAAGTCATCGATTTTTCCAAGCCCTTCATGACTCTGGGAATCTCCATTCTCTACCACAAACCCAACGGCACGAATCCAGGCGTGTTCTCGTTCCTGAACCCGCTCTCTCCGGACATCTGGATGTACGTGCTGCTGGCCTGTCTCGGGGTCAGCTGTGTGCTGTTCGTCATCGCCAGGTACTCATCACTTTAACACATTTTAACCTTGAGATTGGATTCAAATCTACAAATTGGACCGGTTTCATGCTTCTGTATGTTTTGTGGTTAATTAGCTCTTGTTTTACTGCCCAGCTCAAAACCTCAGTCTTGGCCAGCTCATTTTAAATACAAATGCAATGGTACTTTTATTACAGTTGTGCTGAAGTGGCAACTAGCCTCTCCCTATGGAGGATCCCTATTCCACTCTACTGATAGCGTTGTTGAAATTCGGTTAGTTTATCTACCCTGAAGTGATAAAATAAAATAAAATTTTGTCTCAGAATTTATAGGCAAGAATAGTAGTTTGTTCAGGCATGGTTTTGATGGGAATTACAAACCTGCATATATATATTAAACTGCTGGAAAATAACAAGAACTGCTAATAAAACCAAACCAATCTCTGTTACTTTAAATTATATGTTTATCCCTGTAAAGCTGCTTTGAAACAATCTACGTTGTTAAAAGTGCTATATAACTGAGGATGACTTTTCTAAAACTCAGTTAATTCAAATTCAAGCCCATGTCCAGTATTTATAATGGCCGAATTGTGGTAACGACACGTCACTGCATTGGAAAAGTTTGCACTTTAGAAGGTGTTTTCAAACAGGTTTTCAGTGGCCTAAATGGCTGTTTGCATGTAAATGGCTAAAATCTGCAAATATATTTTCAAAATGTCTGGATGAACCTTGGAGTCATGCTTTTTTCTCTCTATATATTTTTCCTTTCTGCAGGTATGGTAATTAATAATTTCCTCCTCTGGTCTCCCGCGTGTTCTTTGGGTTTTGTTGTTTTTTGGACTCTATTTGGGCTATTTATTGGGTGTCTAAAGAAAACCCTTATTTTTGTGGGTGGGAACAGAGCTGGACATATAACAGCAACATATAACAGCCACAAATATTTGCAATAGAGTCCAACAGTGAGCAGACACATTTTTGTTTTAAGCAGACTCGATTCAGAAAATATTTTCCCATTTGTCTTTTTTCCCATATCTATGGAAACTTGTTTCCGCCACTGAATAAAAATAATAATAATAATTGCGACTTTTTTATCTCACAATTGCGACTATTTCTCACAATTCTCACTTCATATATAGCAATTGTGAGATAAAAAAGTCGCAATTATTATTATTATTTTTATTCAATTCGGTCTTTGTTTTCTCACAATTGCGACTATTTCTCACAATTCTCACTTCATATATAGCAATTGTGAGAAAAAAAAGACCGAATTGAGACTTTTTATCTCACAATTGCGAATTTACATCTCGCAATTCTGGCTTAAACACATAACTGCGAGTTTATATCTCAAATTCTTACATCTTTTCTCAGAAATGTGAGGTATAAACTTGCAATTGCGAGTTATCAGAAAAAAAAATACTTTTTTCCCCTCAGAATAGTTTACAACACGCAATTTCGACTTTATATCATGCAATTGCAGCTTTATATCAATCAATTCTGATTTTATATTTCGAAATTCTGACTTTATATCTCACAATTCTGACTTTATAACACGTAATGCAATTCTGACTTTATATCTCAGAATTGCGAGATATAAAGTGAGAATTGCTTGATATAAAGTCGCAATTGTGTGTTATAAAGTCAGAATTGTGAGAAAAGGTCGCAATTGCATTTTTTATTTTTCATTCTCTGGCGGAAACAAGCTTCCATACATATACTTTGTTTTTTAATGAGGGTGGAAGAATAAACAGTAAATTTTACATTAAATTAGTTTTACTGTAAAATCGTAAAAAGGGGGGGAGGGGTTAATGGTGAAAATATAAATAATCAATTTAATGCATGAATGTAAAGCATAAAGAAGTACAGTGCCACATATTGTCCAGATGCTCCAGTTACATGGAGTTATGAGTATGTATGTTAGAAAGGGAGTCCAGGTTTTGGAGAATGATGCGTTGGGTTGATGGAGGGAATATCTAATTTTCTCGAGTCTAATGAAATACGAGGCATTATAAATCCATCAAGAATGTGATGATGAATGTGGGATTTTCCACTTAAGCAAGATCTGCCGTCTGGACAGCGATGTGAGAAATGCAATAAAGTCATAGAGAAGTCAAACCGCGGTCAGGACACCGAATACTCCAGTGAAAGATGAGGCCAACATGTTAGAAGAGGACATTTCTGAGAGACCATGATGCATTGCAAATTACATAATCAAATCAAAAACAATGATGCAATATCAAATTATTGCTTTATGGATGTTTATTGTCAGAGTGAAATACAGTTTATTTGAAATGTTTTGTGAAATAATGGCTGGCATTTTGTGGGTGATGGTTAGTGATGATAATATTAGAGCTATTATATTGAATATTCACAATAAATTTGTGGGGAAATTTGTTTTTTATTGCACTTTTAACTTGACCTTTTTAAGTGTTGTTAGGACAGACAGATGTTTTAGTGTCTCGGTTTTAAACTTCACAAGCAAAATCTGTTAGAGCTGTTAGCAAGTTGGAAACCGTTCAAATATGCTAACATATTGCATTTTTAAAGAATTTAATGTAGATATAATTCAAATTACATCAAGGGACCTTTTTATTAACTTTGGATTGACTCAGACCTATAATTCGGTGGTTCTATCATCAATTACAAATGTGGGATTGTTTGTTTTGAATTGATGATTTTGTGCATTTGCAGTAAATGTTGAGTGTGTTTGTGTGTCTGCAGGTTTACTCCATATGAATGGTACAACCCTCATCCCTGCAACCCTGATTCTGATGTGGTGGAGAACAACTTCACCTTAATCAACAGTGTTTGGTTTGGGGTTGGAGCCCTTATGCAGCAAGGTCTGAGATTCAAAACATGTGCTTTACTTCTTTTGAGGAATATCCAAATGTGTTACAATCTACATATGTACAATATCCATACACTCTGAAAATAGTGTCTATCTATCTATCTGTCTGTCTATCTATCTATCTATCTATCTATCTATCTATCTATCTATCTATCTATCTATCTATCTATCTATCTATCTATCTATCTATCTATCTATCTATCTATCTATCTATCTATCTATCTATCTATCTATCTATCTATCTATCTGTCTGTCTGTGTCTATCTATCTATCTATCTATCTATCTATCTATCTATCTATCTATCTATCTATCTATCTATCTATCTATCTATCTATCTATCTATCTATCTATCTATCTATCTATCTATCTATCTATCTATCTATCTATCTATCTGTCTGTCTGTCTGTCTGTCTGTCTGTCTGTCTGTCTGTCTGTCTGTCTGTCTGTCTGTCTGTCTGTCTGTCTGTCTGTCTGTCTGTCTGTCTGTCCATATCCATCCATCTATATTCATTCATCCATCCATCCATCTATCAATATTTATTCATCCATCCATCCATCTATCTATCTATATCCATCCATCCATCCATCCATCCATCCATCCATCCACCCATCCATCTATCCATCCATCCATCCATCTATCTATCTATCTATCTATCTATCTATCTATCTATCTATCTATCTATCTATCTATCTATCTATCTATCTATCTATCTATCTATCTATCTATCTATCTATCTATCTATCTATATTCATCCATCCATCTATCCATCTATCCATATATCCATCCATCTATCTATCTATCTATCTATCTGTCTGTATATCTATCTATCTATCTATCTATCTATCTATCTATCTATCTATCTATCTATCTATCTATCTATCTATCTATCTATCTATCTATCTATCTATCTATCTATCTATCTATCTATCTATCTGTCTGTCTGTCTGTCTAATGTCTATCTATCTATCGATCGATCTATCTGTCTGTCTGTCTGTCTGTCCATATATCCATCCATCCATCCATCCATCCATCCATCCATCCATCTATCCATCTAATGTCTATATCTATCTAGTATCTATCTATCTAGTTATTTAAACCACTTACACTTACTTAGTCAAGTTATTTATACCACTTACCTTTTTTGTTTTTGTATATATTTTTTATTTAAATTAATACATTTATTAATTTAATTGAACATTTTATTTAGTTTTATTTTATTTTATGTTGAACACACAAGTAAAAACAATTCTTGAATTGTAACCATCACTTTTACACACCCAGCGGTTTGTTAACTGGTTGAATATTTCCGGTGGTCAGGATCGGAGTTGATGCCCAAGGCTTTGTCCACCAGGATCGTTGGAGGGATCTGGTGGTTCTTCACCCTCATCATCATCTCGTCCTACACGGCTAACCTGGCCGCCTTCCTCACCGTGGAGCGAATGGACTCGCCGATAGACTCGGCCGACGACCTGGCCAAACAGACCAAGATTGAGTACGGTGCCGTGAGGGACGGCTCCACTATGACTTTCTTTAAGGTTAGGCAACTTTTAGATCTGGCAATCCAGGTCTCATATATAAAAATGCAGTTTGTTTAAACAGTATATGCAGTTTCTGTGTGTTTTGTGATATATTGGTTTGGCATTGACTTGATAGAGGTGGTTTGAGGTTTGACGGGTGAACGGGTTCCACCTCCAGATACTCAGACCTGTGATTGTAGATGCACAGATTGGCGGGAATGATTACAGGACACGAACCTCAGCCAGAGGGAATTCAACATGTACAGAGCGAATTAAAGCAGCTTATAGCGGAAGAGAGGGTTATGAGGACATCTGTCACTGCACTGACTTAGACCAGCAAAGCAAAGAAGGATTTTATGGCAGAAGCACAGGAAGTCCAGTAGTGAGATCAGCGTACTGTACATTTATTCACAGCGGAAACAAGAAACGTGTCTGAAACGCTGTTCTTCTCCTAAAAAACATTCAATTTCAAATGGACAATTTGTGCTATGGCTGTAAATGATTTCATATCGTTATTGAAAATAGAGATAAAAATTTTAAGAGGTAAAATTTTCTAAGAGAAAGTGATAGTTTTGGCTCTTAAATCTGATTATAAATTGATAGTTCTGGTCTTGGAAGCTGATACATACATGTTTATAGTATATTTCAACTAAATCAGAAACAACTTATGAACCTTAGTTTACATAGGTCTACTTATGATGCTTTATGAATCTGATTAAAAATATATAACACATAATATTAATACAATACTTTAATATATAATACAGCCTCAATTAGGTGATCAACATTCAAAACTGTCAAATATTTGATATACTGACAAAAACAAAGACCAATGAAATACTGTACATTCATTTGCAGAAAAATACTAATTTTTTAATGATTAACAATTCTTGCCTTTTATCATATTTTATTGCTGACATTTTATAACAGCAAGATTATGTTTTGTTTTGTACAGACATTCATGATGACTGATACTTTTTATTTTATTTGATCAACATTTAAAACTAAAATTAGTTGATATACTCACAAAAACAATTGCTAACCAACTAGATTAATTTTCCCAAAAAAGAGAATGTTTTTTAATGATTAATAAGTATCTTTTTTCATATTGCTGTTGATGAAATTTTACGAAAGCAATAAGACACTCGATCCTGGTGGACAGTGATTTTATTGAATTTAATTTTGAATTTGATTATTTCTTTGGTAAAATCTGTCACACACCTTTAAGTGGCTACTTGCATTAAACATTTCCATTCATGCATTTGTCATTTGAGTATACAGTATTATTCCATTATAAATCGAATCCATGCACATGTTCTACAATAATGCTCTGAAAAATCTTTCCCAGAAATCAAAGATCTCCACCTACGAGAAGATGTGGGCGTTCATGAGCAGCCGGAAGAACACAGCGCTGGTGAAGAATAACCGAGAGGGGATCCAGCGTGTGATGACCACAGACTACGCTCTTCTGATGGAGTCCACCAGCATCGAGTACATCAGCCAGAGGAACTGCAACCTCACACAGATCGGAGGACTCATCGACTCCAAGGGCTACGGAGTGGGCACTCCTATCGGTACACTCACTGTAAACTAGGATTGTTTCATTAGAAACTGCAGCATTTGAATTACCTGGTGTTGTTTAACTGTGTAAAAATAGTAAGTTGAAAATTATAATTAATATGATTGAATCAACCTGAGTAAATTGAGTTACATCAGATCTGGTGTGTGTGTGTATGTATATGTATATATATATATATATATATATATATATATACATTTTCTTTAAGGTCTCTAAATTACATTTAATTAGGATATATCAATAAATATTAATAAATTGGTAACGCTTAATAAGGTCTCTCTTGTTAGATTAATGCTGTGTTTTAGAGCACTTATTAATCTTTGTTAATGTTAGTTAATAGAAGTATGTCAGTTCACGGTGCATTAGGTAATCTTTGGTAATAATGTTTACAAATGAAGCCTTGTAAAGTGTTACTAATCAATCTTTATAAATATTCTGTCAAAAACTTATTTAGTTAGTTTACAGTTTATTTTCTTTCAGTTAGAGAAACCATAATTTGAACCAGTGATATTTTGATAACTGGGAGCTGATTTCAGAAAGTGGGTTAGGGTTAGACTTTGTTATTTTTGTACTTTTTTGTACCTTAGATTTTATTTTTTATATTTGAATATGTTTTTATTTATTTTGTATTACATTTTTTATATTGTAGTTAAAGATTTAGTATTTTTGTTTGTTTTTGTAATTTTTTTAATTAGATTTATGTTTTTTAAAAATGTTTATATAGATTTTTTCTTCCATTTTAGTACTTCAAATAAACCAGTGTTATTTTAGGATCATTGAGATAATATTTTGCATCATTTTATATTTTTATTTGGTTTTCGATTTAATTTTATTTAAAGTTTTAGTTATCTTGTGTGTTTGTCATTTTAAGTATTTTTTTATGTCTATAGTTTTTTATGAATTATTTCCCTTTTAGTTACTTTAGTACATAAAGTTGAAAGAAAATTTGAATTAGAAATGCTGCTTAAGCAACTAGCTAAAATAAAAAGTTTTTATATTTTATTTTATTTTATTTCAGTCAACTTTTGTTTCAAGTAAAACATGTTTTTTTAGGATTTTAGCTGGCTATAATAATCCTGAAATAAACAACAAAAATGAAAAACTTTACCAACTCGCTGAAATAAGTTATTTTAAAGGTAGGTTAGGCTATTTTTTTTTACAAAAACTTTTTGTTATACTGTTAAACTCAATCAATAATAGAGGTGGTCTAAATATTAAAACGTATTAAACAATATTAAAATGGTATCTTTTGTAGAAAAAAAATGCTTGTCCAATCATTGCATGAGAGGTGGTCTCGTGACGCTATTTTGCTGATAATAACCCTGGGTTTCTGTCAGGTTCCCCGTATCGGGACAAGGTGACCATCGCCATCCTGCAGTTACAGGAGGAGGGGAAACTCCACATGATGAAGGAGAAGTGGTGGCGAGGAAACGGCTGTCCCGAGGAGGACAGTAAAGAGGCCAGCGCTCTGGGTGTGGAGAACATCGGAGGAATCTTCATCGTCCTGGCGGCCGGACTCGTCCTCTCCGTGTTCGTGGCCATCGGGGAGTTCATCTACAGGTCCAGGAAGAACCTGGACATCGAGGAGGTGAGCGTGGGACAGTGTGAATGGCACAATAAATACTGATGTAGGAGCTGGTGGACGTCACAGTTTCACACTTTTGCTCGTTGACTCTCCTAAAGACGGACACACACTGACTGAACATTGCCTGCGGTGTCATATGATGTCAGCTGTGTTATAACTGGGGGCGACGTTGGACAAAAAACTTTCTTTTTTTCAAATAAAATGTATTTTCAGAGATGGACAATGAGATGAAAAGTCAGTGAAATATGAGTAAAGAGAGGAGGGTTAGTTAAAAATGAACTGCTGTTCAATGATCACACCAGTTAATACATTGTAGAGTAGCTCACATCCATGTAGTTTGTATTTAGATTTAAAGGACTTGAACATTTTATTCTTTACAGACATATTCCTTCTTAATCTAATTTATGATAAGACATGTCTGTGGGGTTTATAATAGGTGATGTGTGTAATTTTTCCATGTTAGCATGTTCATTTCAAGCTTAATTTGCAGAGTCATTTATAGGTCATTCAATCATTGGTTGATTTTCCCGAAGAGTGCAAACAACAGTTTTAACTAGAGATGCACCGATTGATTGGCTGGTGACCGGAATTGGACGATTTTCACGTGATCGGCGACCGGCCGGTCAATCTGATGTGCAAATTCACTTGGGTGCCGCGTAATTAACATTGCGCAAGATCAGCACGCTCAATTGAAGTGAAAGCACACTTTTGATGGACAAAATAAATATGATTTCACACAAAAGTGCCCGAAATGCACAGAATTTGCATGTCTGGTGTGTTAACAAGAACTGTATATGTCAGACAAGAAAATGAATTTTATTTTTGAAATGAACAATTTTTTTAAGTTGTATGTGAAAAGAAGGAAATGGTTCTTCCATAACACTGCACTTTAGATGTGTGAGCTGTAAAGTGTAGGGATTCACCGATATCAAAAAATTTTGGCCGATACCGATAATTATTTATATTTGAAAGCCGATAACCGATATATCGGCCGATAAACTTAAATCCAAATTTTTATCTAATTTTGAGAGCCTGATTACAAAAAGAAAAGTCTCACAATTAAATCCACGTCCCAAGCGCACAATTATAATGATGTTCTCATTATAGTGTTGTATAGCCGATATGACAGATTTGCGTCGCTCATGTTGTCCCGAACCAGATTTTCATTTTTTGAAGAGATTTCAATCATATTTCAAGAAATTCAAAAACATAAACAGTTCAACAAGTGTCTCAGCTAAAGGGAATAATACATTATTTATCGGTTTTAATATATCGGCCACATTTTCTTACCAGGCCGATAATGATAACATTAAAAATGAACATATGTCGGCCGATACCGATATGCTGGCCGATATATCGTGCATCCCTAGTAAAGTGGTTAGAAAAAATGAAATCGGAATCGGCTAAAGTCGGCATCGGCAGGTTAAACTCTGAAATATTGTAATCGGTGCATCTCTAGTGTTAGCATGCCTGAAATGTCAAATGTAGATGGGAAACCTGTTTGAAAACAGTCATTTATTTCATTTGGCGATTGCAGAAATTACATACTTCACCTTTAAAGGCTCATGCTGACCGTTTTAGCCTTTCTCTTATAAAATGACTTATTTTATTTCACGACTGTTTGTTACATTTGTCTTAAAGCTGTGTGTTATATGAACCCTCTTTTTTAATAGTGAGAACAAACATGTCTATAATGCAGATTTAACATGCAGATCCAGCACTGCAGACGTCCCAACAAGTCATTTTTCTGGCAATTTTTCTGAAATTGAAAATGCTGTGCAGATCATATGTGACGTTTAATATGCAGCGTAGTTTGGATGAATGGATTCGAATCTGCACCTTGTCGCGGCTCTTTTTGTGTTCGCAGAGATTTAAAACCTCAGATTAACAGACTGGTTATGTTTTATTCTGTCTACAGGTGCAAGACTTTGTAGCATCATCCTTTCTGCTTTTGTATCGTTTGACACTTGTGAAAATGCATATAAATATTTTACTCAGTGAAATGATTTCTTTACGAGAACAATGTATGTGTTTTTTCTTTGGATTTCCTTTTTTATTATTTGCCTCTTGTAGTCGATCAGTGCTTTAATGATGTTTTTTTCACAGATGGACATTCAGTCTTCTGCACCCGAAACTAAAATTCACTGAATTGAGTTTAAGCATTTTATTATTGATTCACTTTGGTGATGGGCTTATACTGAGAGAATTTTAATCTGTCAATAAAATCAAGTAATGAAAACGACTAATTATAGGTCAGACAATTGCATTTTAATTCCATTTCCTCCATTGTTAAAGGGATCGTTCTCTTTGAAATTAATTTTTGATATGTTTTAGCTTACCTCAACGGCATCCAGATGTAGGTGTCTGTTTCCACAGCATTTTCAATTTTGACATTTTTTGGTCAAACCGTTGTTGTCTGTCAGTGGGGTCCTCCCTCGGTTCACCTCAAAGAGCATGCACAGAGAACTCAAAATTAAACATGATTTAATGACTCGTGAATGTAAGTACACACTGATGGCCTAAGACATGAAACGAGCGGTTTGTGTGAGAAAATGAACTGCATTTATATAGTTTATACCCAGGGCTTGACATTAACTTTTTTGCTCACTAGCCAATTTGGCTAGTGGTTTTCCAAAATTATTAGCCACGCAGCAATTTTACTAGTCACATTTTTGTTGTTGGAAATTTACGTTTATATGATTAAAGTTGACAAAGAGGCTTAAAATTTACTAATATTATCATTAGCTCTGGCAAGGTTGTAAAGCTCCTTTTTTGAAAACATGTTGTCTACACATAAAATAGCTTCTTACATAAAATAAAATTGCTGCATCGTTTTTTTTTACAGCAGTGAATACTGTAATACAGAATAGAATAATTATCTGCATTTGAAACAATGAATAAATTATTTTTTCTAAGAAAAAATCCACAATTAAGGCAACAGGATTACAACTTCATATAGGATAAAGTCTAAATGACTGTTTTGTGGACTTTGAATTGTTTGTTTTGCATCAGCATTTCCTCAGAGCTCTAACTTAATAATTATCATCAACTGGAGATATGTCCACCTGAAACAATAGGCCTATAGGTCTTTATTTTCCAGATTATTTCCACAAATGCATCTCCTGCTTTATTTCATGGCATGATTCATTTTATTAAAACATAAAATTAACTCTGGAAAGATAGTTGTGATATGACGTACGTGGCGTAAGCCCTGCTAGTAGTTATGCTACACCGCGTCCCTTAATCACGAAGATATTTTTTTCTTTATATCGGCCACGCACACTCACGAACTGACTGAATGCTGTGTTAATGTGTCTGTGCACCAGTCGCGTGTGATGATCGTTTGACAAAAGTCTGGATGTCATATTTGGCGCGCGCACCCTCGCGCAGCGGCACTACAGGAGAGCGTGAGACGCGCGTATGTTCTGGATTCTCATGCAATTAAAAAAGATCGCTATATCATCACATTACGTTGATAATTAAATGCAGACTAAAACAGCCTTTACTCCGACGGTCAGCCCGCGAGTTTAATCTTCTCTAATTGCATTTCGTTTGTTATGTGATATGTCTTTTGACAAGGCTACAATTTTTCAACACGCCAAAGTGGCTAGTGGGAGTGACTGTGTTACCCGCCACGGTTGAAATCATCAACCCGTATTTGGCGGGTTGGCGGGTCAAGCCTGTAAAAAAAGGTCAAGTCCTGTAGCCGGCGAACTGATCTGAATCAGATGTCCAACTGAACCGAACCAGACCGAACTGAACCGTCTCCAACGTGACGCCGGAAGTGATCGCGTGCGTGTAGTACGTCACGCATTGTTTACACGGAGATTTCGGAAGTTTTACCTTTCACTAAACATATTTAGATATATCGAAATCGTCTTCTTCCCGTATATCAAAATATGTTTAGTGAAAGGTAAAACTTCCGAAATCTCCTAAACAATGCGTGATGTAGACGGGCGAGAGATCACTTCCGGCCTAAAGTCTGGAGACGGTTCAGTCAGTTGGCCGACGGATTTACTGTCTATGATGTTAACAAGAGGTAAAAACTATATAAATACTGTTCGTTTTCTCACACAAACCGCTCGTTCACGAGTCATTAAATCATGTTTAATTTTGACTTCTCTGTGTATGCTCTTTGAGGTGGACTCCAAAATTGAAAATACTGCGTGGAAACAAAGACACCTAACGTACATCTTGATGCCCTTGAGGTAAGCTAAAACCTTTCTTTTACTGTCTATGGCTAAAACATATCAAAAATTAATTTCAAAGTGAGCTATCCATTTCAAGGAAACATCCAGCCAAAAATGAAAATCGTTATAATTTACTCATCCAAAACGTATGTAAAAATGAAGAATAATCTTCATTTAGTTTTTTTTATATATCTATATTCAACAACAATTAATAGTAACACAGCTGTCTGTCTTCAAAGAACAATAATAATTGCGTCTTATTGCTCTCGAAAGTAGAAGTAATTTAATAAAAGTAATTATTATGATTTGTGCACAGTATTTCAAGTTTCCTAAAGTCATACAATATCTTTCTTTGAGGATCAGATTCTCTATTGTCCGAAAAGCTTCAGCTCTCATAATGCATATGCGATATGCGATTGTGTCAGTCATGTGAAACCTTTCACTTTTGAGTGAGCTTGCTTTAACTCAGTCTTGTACACCATTACCAATTCTTTTCTGAATAAATCAAGAGCAGGTGACCTTGTGGAGGAACTAGTATTTAGCTTCTTCAAGGGGCTCAGTGTCTCTCCGCAGGTTCTCCTTAAAACATTGTTATCTTCAATTACGGTGCCAGTTTTGTCACTTTTCCAGTTCTCATGTCTCACAATTTCCATATGATTATGAGCGCTGGCTTCAGGGCCCGACCCATCAAAAGAATCATTTCTGAATTCATAAGAGGCCTGGGAAATGATTCCATGTAAATGAAGATCAGATCAGACGTTGTGTGTGTGTGTGTGTGTGTGTGTGTGTGTGTGTGTGTGTGAGAGAGAGAGAGAGAGAGAGAGATTTCTGCCTCCCTTCAAAGGCATTGAGGGTTTTATTTTTTTTTTATTATTTTTTTTTTTTTATTACAATAACATAACTTTGGTATTTCATAACAGCTCATACAGCCAAAATTTTCTTTGGATATACATGTTCAATATAAAATGATAAAGAAAATAGAAATAATAGTTATAATACAACAAGGCATTTCTTAGTCGAATAAAAAAGCAGACATTTTATAGACCAAAAAAGGATATATCAGTCACTGAGTATCTTCAAGAAAGTTCCACAAAGCAAAGCATCAGACCTTTAATGCAGATCATATGTTAGTTTCTCTATAGACCATTTCACAAGATGTAAACAACACTGGTCCAGAAGCACTTCCTGTTCCAGTTTTGTAACACTACATAAAAGCTGGGATAAAATACAACCAACAGAACATTTAAAACTGAATCAAAAAGTTAAACAAACATCTTTAAGATGTTTTCTTTACATGTGAAATAAAGAAAACAGTTACAAACTGAAACAGGAAGTGCTTCTGGACCAGTGCTGTTTACATCTTGTGAAATGGTCTATAGGTAGAATAGCATATATATTTGGAGACATTGCAAAGGCATTGAGGGTTTTAAGTGAGTGAACACTGAATGGAAAAACATCTTGAATTCTTGATTCCACCTTTTCTGACCTTTTGAATTTGTCCATGTGCTAAAACCAGAAAGCCAAAACAAACAACATGTCGACCTCAAATTGTAACAGCTTTAACAATTTTTACTCATTCAGTCAGTGACATATCAATTAACACATACAACAACAACAACAAAAAGGATTCAAAGTAATTACATTACAAAAATAAAAAAATTATTCAAAAAGTTCATGAACAAGAAATGGTATGGAAGCCCATATCCACCACATAAGAAAAAAAAAACATCCTTTGTTACATTTATGGGATAAAAAGTTTATTTTTATGACTATCAACTTATTTATGAAAAAAACAAAAACTTTTACTGTCATGACATTTTATTTCATAAATTTGGCTTTATTTCCTCAGAGCATCTCTTGGGCTGAATGAGAGTTTGAGCCGCACGGAAGTTTCAAAGAAGCTTTTGCATTAATCTGCGGTGGAGATGACAGTCTGAGGTTTGTGCATTTTGATGAACTCTGGGATTGAGTTTAAAACTGCTTTCATTTTAGTTCACTAGACCGTAATCCTCTAACCCTGCTTTCTTAATCAAAACTGGGAGTTTTTAATCTAGCGTTGCGCAGCGCAGGATTACGGCTCTATGACCTTGTGCTGCTGCACAGCTGTTTCCTCCTACAGCAGCGCTCGTGTTGTAGCGCTTCTGGCGGATGGAATAATCAGACTGTCTTTCTCTGCATGTGCGATGTGTGTGTTTTTAAGTGTTGTAGATAAATTGTTTCTTTCTATCGGTGATCTGAATAGAAGGATTATCGGTGTGTCTGCACATTAAAGGGATAGTTCACCTAAAAAAATCTGTTATTTACTCACCCTCATGTTCTAAACTTTGTTTCAAGAGATTGTAAAACTAACCCACATGAATTGGGAGATTATCAGGCTACGTTTACACAAAGCCGGGTATTTATCGAAATGAATATTTTCCCCCTCTCCGTTTCCAAAAGTAACATTGTGCACACACCCGCATAAATACGCCGTCGAGCACAATCATAACCATGCCAAACCTATTGGCGGCAGTGTAGGGAGAAGGGTAAAGCCATGCAAGCCAATCAGAATCCTCAGAATCGGCAAGTGAGAATCTAAAACCACGTTTCTCCCAGTTCACACGACAACACACAACCAGCGTTTTCAGAAATCTCCACTTTGGCTGGAGATTTAAAAAAATAATCGTTTTCTGTGATAAAAAAACAGGGTTTTCGTGTAAACGAGAGGCCAAACCGCAGGGAAATATCTGCGTTTTCCCTTCGTGTAAACGGGGCCTCAGACTGAATTTTATATAATGGGACCAACCACCTGGAGGCGATCTAATCGTTTTGGCTTCATTATTCAGGATGTGTGGCACACTAGGTCGGAATGCGCACGGGCTAATTACATTACGAGCTACAGGCAAAACAAACATTTGAGTTGAATTTGAGGTTTTCACAAAAATAAGTTCATCAAGCCCTCGTCTAACGACCCCAGTGCTCCAAATAGCAAATAAACATCTAAAAGTATTTTTATTTTTCTGTTTTCTGATGTGTAACTTTACATTTTTTTTTTAATCTCTCAAATTTCAATACAATTATCTTCGTGTGTGTTTCATAGATGAATGACAAGTAAGTGATGACATTGTTTTTCTCATGTTTTGGGTGAACTAACCATTTAAACAGCTTTAAATAGTTGAATGTATTTTTCCCCCGATATACACTATGTGACAGAAAATCCCACCATACTTGCAATATTGTTTTGTATAGGTGAAGAGGAATGTGATTTTTTAGAAATCACAGTTACACCAAACACTGTGTGTGTAATGGGAATAATACAGGTTTTGTGCTTTTTGAAGCATCCATCTTTATCGCATCACTTGAAAATGTACTAGAAAAAATTAAAACATAAACGGAGCAATTTCACTGGGGTGGGTCATCATCACACCATCCGTGCTCGGGACATAATAATGTGCAGCTTTTATCGCCCTCTGCTGGTAAGACAAAAAAAAGACAATTCTTTGCTTAAAAAAAAACTTTCATCAAGAGAAAGACACAAGAAAATAGTTACATTACAAAGTCACAATTGACAGTGTGATCGCTGTGTGACTCTGTGTCTTTAGTCTCTGTAGCGGCTCTTAATTCACTATCATCTGATCCTGAAGAACCTGAACTGATGTCTGAACGATGAAAGTCCTACAATGAAACAAACAGACACATATTAGTATGAGACATTACTGCGGTCAAATCACGTCTGGAGATCATTTCAGGAAAATAGCCAGTGATATTAGAATATTCATATTACAGTAAGAGATATTAATGAAAAGCTGCTAATAGATTAATAACAGTAAGTGATAAACAACTCTCAAAAGACAAAAAAGGCATTTATTCCTTAAAAAAAGCTTTCATAAAGAGAAAGACACAAAAAATAGTTACATTACAAAGTCACAATTGACAGTGTGATCGCTGTGTGTGTCTGTGTCTCTGTAGCGGCTCTTTACTCACCATCAGCCGATGCTGAAGAAATCGACTGACGTGTAAACGCTGAGAGTCCTACAATAAAACACACAGACACATATTAGTATGAGACATTACTGAGTCACATCACATCTGGAGATCATTTCAGGAAAAACACAGTCAGTGATATTAGTATATTCATATTACAGTAAGAGATATTAATGAAAAGCTGCTAATAGATTAATAACAGTAAGTGATAAACAACTCTCTCTTAATCACTTGCACAGAGACACTGTTAAGTAATGAAAATATATTTATATATAATATTTATAAATCAGTCACATCACAGACTAAAACTAAAAGTATGAAGACTGAAGTGGAGCTGAATTATGATCTTTTATTTTCCGGTTACAAACATATGATGTGTTAATGAACTTGGGCTAATTTAAAAGCTTTAAATGAAAAATATACCCACATAGATTAGTTCATTCAGTTTATAATGTGGATCATCCTTCAGATCAGAGAGCAACTTCACTCCTGAATGTCCAAAACCATTCTCATACAGATTCAGTTCTCTCAGGTGTGAGGGGTTTGATCTCAGAGCTGAAGCCAGAGCAGCACAGCCTTCATCTGTGATGCCACACCTACTCAACCTGTGGAGAACAAATGACACACTGTGAATTGTAGTTTAAGTGTCTGTAACTGCAATGTGATCTCATGAGAATAACGTGTGTATTTTTACGTTAAGTGTAGTTCTGCACATGTACATTTACTTACGATTTTATACACTCAGAAACGTATAATACTGACGTATTTACAGTGCTAAAAGGTAAAATATTTACGTATTGACACCACAAAACCGTAAATTATTTACGTGGGTAGATGACAAATAAGGGTGAAACAGGGTTCAAATACTGAGGTTAGCAGATTTTTTTACTCATTATGTAATTTATTAAGCTTTTCTCACAGCTCCAGGCAAAATATTGTCCTGCGGTGTGACATGACATTACTGTAAAATACAAATACAAATAAGGTATGTTTTAAGTTTAACAAGTATTCTTAAAGAATGAATATTAAAATTCTGCATATATTGTTTTTCACAGATGTTTTTTAATTATATTCTTTGCTTGTGCCATGTGACGCAAGTGATGTCACACCACAGGACAGGATATTTTCATGTCTGGGAAAAATTTGGGAAAGTCAAAAAAGACTTGACCCTCCCTTCACCAGTAATTAATTTTTCTATGACTCTCCAAAACGATTGTGAAAAAAAGCATGACCCTCCCCGATAATTTATTGATTACTTCTGTACTGGTTTGCACTTGGCAAAGATGTTCAGATAGCCTTTTTTTTTTTTTTTTAACAACTACAGTAACAAACGACTAAACTCCTGCTTTCTCATCCTACTATGGCTGCAACAATATACCAAAATTTTGTTCGTTACATAATTTTTTTTTATTTTAGATTTAAAAAAAAAATGATAATAAAAAAATCACATTTTTGGTGCTGATGCATGGTGCGTTCATGTAACAAGGGTGGCGCTCCAAACTTTGAAGTCTAAAGTATCTAAAAGCTGACACAAAAAAACGGTAAAGGTAATGATTATGAATATGTCAAATATATCAAGGAGACATTTTAATTGTTTATTAATAAACAAGGTTTTTCTGTGTCAGTGTGTCGTCTTCAAGATATGAAGTTGATGATGCTGACTTGCGATCTTCACAGTAACGCACCAGAGAGAAATGCACATTTCATACGGATTATTACATAAGCATGCAGAGATCATGTTTTTCGTTTTTAAATGTTCTGTTTAAAAGTAGACATCACACTTTCTATACATTTTATAAGGTTTGTGAGGAAAATAGCCGGTGAGTTTCGGTTTATTTATGAGAGTCCAGTTCACGTGCCGGCATCTCTGTTTCTTATCTATCGTCTTCTATATTTACGTCTTATTTATTAAATCAAGGCAATTGGTTGATGAAACATTAATTAAAATAACATACAATTGTATAAGATACACTTACTTTAAAGAAAGGCTGTGCTTTCTGAAGTCTTTGAAAGTTTTAAAGTCACTTTCACAGCGGTCTATAACGAAGAACTGTCATGTCCGTAACATTGTGTTTTTTTTTCCCCTCATAAATACGAGCACGAAAAATAAAATAAATAAATATATTTGATGTTCTGTGGGGGCTGATTCTTCTTCCTCCTATTAACCTACTTTCAGGAAAGCTATCAGTTCCTTTATCAATAGGCTACACATGAAAAGCACCCCAGGGGCATTATAGATCTGTTATGTTTAATCTATTAAGTTTTGTTATGTAGAAGTGTATTTTGAATTAAAGTGTGCTGTGAACTCTGTTGCCTTGAAACTCAAGCTGCCGTCATTCATTCACGTCCCGGTCCCTGACCGCCTTACCTGCCAATATGGCGGTTTAAACAGAGTAGGTCACGTGACGTCCGGAGCTCTATTAACAACTGAAGTATTGATCAGTAGGGAAGCCTATATGTTATTCAGGGCTCCAGACTAACTTTTTTTACTAGGAGCGCTGTTGCCCCTAACTGAAAATTTTAGGAGCGCAATCAGAAAATTTAGGGGCACACCTTAAATCAGCTCGCAAAGCAATTATTCAAATTTCCCCCAAAACAACTGTAATACTGACAAATTCTATAATAATAAATAGACTTAACATTATGATATGCTGTTTTATTTTAAGTTCACAGGGCTCCAGACCCAAATTTGAAAGCAGCACCACCTCAACTGAGAACTCACACTCACACTCACTCAACTCTACAAAAAAAAAAAAGAAAAAAAAATCTAGTAGCACTGGGGCTGACACTAGGGTGTAGATGAAATTAACTTTAGTTATCATTTATAATGTCTTAGGCCTAATATTAAATAAAAAAAAAACTATTAATTTGAAAACATGTATATGGAGTGAAAATAGCCAATAAACATTCCTACTGTTTACAATGGTGTTATTATTTTTTAAATAAATGTTTAAATAAGAGTCTTAAAAAATCTTAAAAATGTTTATTTTAGGACAATCTTTGAAGGATGAACAAAAAATGTGTTGGTCATCACATAAAAAATACAAAAAATAAAATATTTATATATGATATTATAGTTTTGATTTTGAAGTGCTAGAAAAAGATGTGTATAGGCTACTTTTAAGTGTTTGACTATTTCTTCCACATTATCATATTTATGGTTAGAGTTAAGTTACTACATTAGCCTAAATCCATGGTGAGCTGCTGATTTAGTGGACTGAAAGCCTTCTATAAGTGTTTATCCTGGTTTCCACGTCAGCGCTGTTGATATGATAACTTATTTATAACTTACTATATATGGTTTATAACAGAACTCTGCGCCGAATCGGAATGTTTGTCACTGGATCTCGTGGTGTTGATGTTATTAATTCTGAAGCGAATTCAATGGATTCATTCACTGGATCTCCTAACAGTGTCACGAGAGCGAGATCGGCCCGCGACTGGCAAGTTCGGGGCTTTTTTTTTTACTGTCAGTGGTTCGGGTCGCTGGTGCTGCTGCTCGACGGTCCTAATCACGAGTATCGTATTTTCGTTCCACTTTCATTTTGTTTGCATTCGCTGCTAGGTAACGAGTCGATAGATCGCTTATTGCTCAGATGCACGTAGCAGGTTGTGATATTTGTCTCCTTCTCCTTCCCACAGACGTTTACGCGCGCGATTCTTGTCACGGATTCATTGACGCGTCCCTTCCATGCTTAACCATGCGTTTAACGTGTGGCAAATTTACTGGTCGCACATGTGCGACTGGATGTAAAATTCAGTCGCACACTCTCAAAATTTGGTCACAAAATGCGACCATTTGGTCGCAGTCTGGAGCCCTGTTATTTGAGTCAAGACATTCAGGAAAATGATTACCCCCCCCCACAACATACTGGATATATTCATTAAACATGTCTGGGGATGTTCTTTTAAGAACAACTGTGTGTGTGTGTGTTGCAAAACAACAAATTACATATTTTACTACAAAATTCGGAGTAAAATAAGACGCATATGGATTTTAAACGTTCAAACATTTATACATTTGTTTGCCAAAAAAAGCAAGGAAAGTTGTCCATTTTCTTTAAATAAAACTTTTACTTTATTTTATTCTTTAAAACTGACTGATGACCAGCATCTTTTATTGTAGCTAAACAGTTTTCCTTATGAGTAAAACACAATTTTCACTTAGAAAACTTTTTAAATGTATGACTGAACTTTTTTTTTCTTTTGACAAAATTACCTGAGGTGTGTAACAACCACAAGGGATTTATGTTGATTCCTAAGTTTCGGGTACAGTGCAAACATGCAAGTTCCACACTCTGGTAAAACCCGCAGATAAAAAAAAAAAAAAAAAAATTAAGAGGCTTTTTAAATGTGACTGAACTTTCTCTTTTTGACAAACCAGTATTTCATATTATATTATACTTAATATTATATTGAGTTGTTTAACGTCCGCAGAATAGTTCATTTCAACGTCCTGCTTAGCGTTATTTTTTTTTTCAATTGTTATCACCATCTTCTTTGACTCAAATAAAGTTGTTATATGTGCTAAAAATCTTTGTACATTTCTGTCAGATTTGTTAGAGGAACACATTAAGAATTATAAAGTTACATATCCTTGTAAAGACTATGAATAAAATTCAAACATAATCGTTATGATTTGTGTTTGCACAAAAGTAAATTAAAAAGGTCAATTAATTACAAAAGTGTGTAAGGCATATAGGAAAAGAGACAATTAGCCCTAAAGAATACAGAAATCCTCTCTCCTGGTCTATTGTGAAAGTTTATGTCGATACAGTGTGTTAAATGATATTTTTCCACTAATCGATGACACGCTTTACATTTAGTTTCTTTGTTCTTTGTTGGTAAAGACTACTTTCTGAGCGTGGTCAAACGTGTGTATAGGACGTTTTAGGCGTCTGTCTTTTAGGTTTGATCCAGAAAACAGTAATTTTGTTTTATGTCTTAAAATTTTGTTGTGAACGTGCCCTACTAAGAATGAGCCTATGATTGAATCTGGACATAAAGCAAAATAACTGATAAAAATTAGACAGTCCTCAGATGACATGTTTTTTTTTTATATCAAAACATCTAGTGTTAATTCGATCTCATACAGTTTCATTAAAATAAGTTATTACTCCACCACGTGCGTGACGTAATGAACGACCAACGTAGTTGAACGACCACTTTGCGACAATATGGTTTCGGGAAACAGTCGTGACCATAGGTGACCATAACTATGCATCATACTATGGTAGTAAAGCAGTTAGTTACGTCATTGTACGGGAAACACACCCCTGATCTGAAGCGAGACATAAAAACTGTGTAGACTGTGCGGACTGGAATTGGGAACCCCTGGAAATACTGAAGTCAGATAAATAATTATGTACATCATTCTACAGCTGCTTTTTGTTCAGATTATTGGTTCAAAATGGTGGTATTAGCCTCCAGTCATACACTGTATTTCAGTTGCACCCATCTAAACGAATGCTGCGACATATGAGAACACAATGAGCTCATGGGACTTCAAAACAAGTAAAAAATAAGATGAAAATAGACAAGCAGATGAGTTTTAATCAAACTACTACAGTAGAAGCAACTGAACCTTCAGTAAATGTTTGGTGGG